GTCGGATCCTTTAAGAGGCCAAGCATCGTATCCAATAAGTCTTCAGCTCCTTCACTTTTTGGTCTCACTGGATCCAAATGCTCGCTAATAAATTCTTCAAATATATCGTCCATTTTTTTCATAAACTTGTCAACTCTCGCATCCAATCCACTAACCACATCAATCCAACCAAATCGTGGGAAAAAATCAGCAACAAAAAAGCATCTCGATATACTGTGCATTTCCTGTAAAATCTCATGCAGCTTATTCCCATTGTTGTGATAACTTCTACCCAAAGCTATTCTAGTCATCATATTAGAACCAAGAGAAATAATAATATCAGTAAGATTAACAGGAATGTTTGCTTCAGCTAAGTCAGATATGGAGGAAATAATGTGTTCAATCTCTTCTTCTCTTAAGGTTCGGAAGGAAGAGACTTTCTTAAGGCTGAAAATCTCGTGGGAGCAAATCTTACGTAGCTCTCTCCATTGCTCCCCATAAGGTGCGAAGGCTATGTCAGCGCCTCCATAACTTAGTTTATTGAAGAAAGAAACAGTTGGCCGGCTACAGAAATCTTGGTCATGGTTTTTGATGAACTTCTTAGCCATTTCTGCTGAGGAGATGACGAGTGCTGGGTGAACGCCTAGCTGAAGAAACATGAGAGGGCCATATTTGTTAGAGAATTGAGAGAGTAAGCGATGAAGAGGTCTATGTAGAAGATGGAGATTTCCTATAATGGGAAGCCTGGGTGGGCCGGGTGGGAGTTTGGGTTTGCTTGTTCTTCTTCGGTGATCAATGTGATATTTTAGGAGGAGTAGAGAGGTTAAGAGGAGGAGGAGGATGGGGAGAAGTGGAAGGGCCATTGGAGTTTTGATTACTGTGTTATTAGCGAGATAGATTTATAGGAGAGGTATAGCAGCTAGAAGACAAACGAAGTTGTAATATTAGGAAATTAAGAGAGAGAATATATAAGGGGCCGGGAAAATTGTGTTGATGCCATGATGTTTTTTGGGTCACTTGATTCCAGATTATGGGTATTGTTGAATAAAAAAAAATGCTTCTTACAGCTATTGAACATTGATATATATATATAT